CGCGAGATTACTGTTTCTGTCGAACTTAAAAAGTATTGTGACCCTGACGATTCAAGCTTTCTACAGGGTCTCCGTAAAGTTCACATGATTCATTTTTTATACGACTTTTTTTTCGCGAAAATTAATACTAGTTCCACCCTCGTTACTTTGATTTACTTATGAATTGTCTTTAGTATTTACTATATTAGGTCTGACCCTAAAGATTCAAAATTTCTAGAAATAAAAAACGTAGATAGCGGAATCTACATCCTTCATTGATATTGTGTCAAAATTGTATAATATATAGATCATTGGAAGCCAAATTATAGGACCTAAAGAGACTACTTTTTGTACACAGGTTGAAAAATAAGCTTCGAAAAAAAAGCCAACATTATATTCTGCTTTAAACTTGGTTAAAACATTTATCGAAACGTATCGATTCATGCAATCACTGTAGGCAAATAATTTTTTATCTCGTACACAAATTTATGGTTGGTTTAAACAGTTTGAAGTGGACTGACAAGACATTACGAAGAAAGTCTTCAGTATAATTTATTTCTTGTAGCTATGACTATGGACAAGTTCCTTTACTTTTGCTTCACATCCAGTAACTGTATTAAAATTAATACTTCTCCATATTTTTTGGTGACGATCAAGACAAAAACTTAATCAATACACTATAGACCAGAAACGTGAATTGATGCCTTTGTTTTTTGAAACATTGTGGGCCAGAAATGTCAATTCACGTTTTGTTATACCTATTCCTTTAACACATTGACTGCCACAGTGAAAATGGCCGTACGTAGCCAGACACACTTTATCTTGTTTTTTAAGTCATAAATCGTCGAAAATATATGCGTGTAGTTGATAGAATCTGTGCGTCGTGTTTTAAATTATACTACGATCTTAATTTTACCCAGAAATTTGATAACTATATTTAAATAATCCAGCTTCTTTGCAATGTACGTGTCACCCATATTTAGGTGACGTGGCAGTCAAAGTGTTAACTGTCTGTTCAGGCAATAATTTATATAAATTGTGCAGCTGGTGATAAGTTTAACATTACAATAAATGTATTTTTTTCTCGCGGCACAAATTTAGTTACAGTCAACAGACATTTTATAGAGTTCATATTGTATTGTTCGCAATCTTTGAATATTTTTTAATCCACAAATTCGAGAGATTTCCGGAAAGAAATACTGATTGCAATAAAATACTTTTCTCGCGTCCTAATTTACCCCGCGATAAATTCAGCTTTCAGCCGGTTACGTTCCACATGGCCGGCAGTAATATAAAAATAACTTGTCAAACACATAAAATTCGTCGTACGAGTATTTCCAAGGGGAACCGTAAATTCGAGTATCGTAAATGGCCGTCGGATAAAAGGTGTCGCCGAAAATCGCTCGACGTTTAGAATTTAACGCCTTGGAGATCGACACACGGAGCACGTAGACGTGCGTGCGAAGTGGAGGACCGGAGAATTCGAAAGGAAGACAAAACGGAGAACGGAACCGAGCCGGAAGTAGTAACGAAAGAACAGAGAAAGTGATTTTCTGCGTTGAATTCGAGAACGTTTATTTGACCTGGACAACGAAGAAGTCTATGAAGCGTCCGGCCAACTGGAAACTACCCCCTACTTCCTATTTATTTATCGGTTTAATAAAGCCACGATCCTCTGTGTGTAACCCATACCACCAATCTTCGTGCACTTTTAGTCTCCTTCATCCATCCTATTTCTTCTCCGTCTTAATATCAATTCTTGAAAGTTATGAATAAGTTCAAGATTGCCCACCCTCTTCCCCCAACCGTTAAGTTTCGATTGACTTTCGAGACTCTTCTGGAGATCGCGAATATTCCTTAATAGCGGAATGTACAGTAGCTTTCGGAAGCTGTTTGATATCGCGGAGACGAGTTAACGGATTTCATTAAGTTTATTACGAAATATCTTGAGAGATAGCGTTTACATTACCTTGTGATTAATTCTGGTATTTTTCGAATGTAGATTCGTGACTAGACGGATGCTTATGCAAAATCACGATTTTGGATACTAATGTATAAGAATCAGAATTAGTATGTGAGTTTTAGTATGTGGTTAATAATACATTAGTACTAATATATTTGATTAAAATCTTTATTTCATTATGTTTCGTGGCCTAGGTAATGCTATGAATGCGTGAACATCCACAATCTATTCATATCTGGTCTAGTGTTTCTATATAAAGGTATCAGTACCGTAAATATTAATTTCAGTGCTTCTGAGTTTGTTAAATATCATGTACACTGTCACTGGAAAGTTTAGAAAATAAGAAGGAAATGAAGGTTTACGTTGTAAGCAATTAAATTTGAATAATCTTTGGGGACTGCTTCAAAGTATCACACTTCAATCTGACGTAAAAAAACTAAACTTTTATATGTTATTATTTGAAAATATTATCAACAAAATTTACATAAAACGCAACACTCTTTTCTTAACACCTAAAACTTAAGTCTTTAGTACATCATCTCGTTTCATACAGAAAATATCTTCGACTCACAGATAAGTATATTTAAAAAAGTTCTCGATCAAAAGATCGTCTCGGTCAATGTTCGTTGTTTCGCTTATGAAACAACACGTCAGTTTTTGGCTACAGACTATTTGGTTATTTCGAATACAAAATACCACCTGCCCGAAGAACGGTGAGAATTCCGTTAGACAGAACATTTAATAGTCTTGAATATTGGAAACACCAAATTATCTTTGAAATATAAAATTCGAAAAAAATTTCAGTTACTTGTTTGATGTCCTGTTTTTCAGCATCATATTATCACGATAGTGTTTTCGATTGTTTATGCATGGAGATTAGGTCGTAGCAAATGAAATGACGTTTTTATTAATTAATATATTTAGTTACACTTGTACGAATGAAAATTATTAGCAGTAGTTACAATTTGCATATTACGTTAGAGCTTGGTTTGTATTTTACATTAAATATTACATGTTTATGCAGTGAAACTAATGTATTTAAAATGACTTCAAGTAGACAATAGATGTAGATGAAATTCAACTAAAATCTGTCTATGTATTTATAATTGAGAAATATTCGCCGTACTCAAACATAAATTTCATGAAATTTCAGTTACGAATTTGATACAGGTTATGATTTAACTAATTTCTAGAAACATAATAATGTTTTCATCTACAAATTAGCTTCAAATTTACAAATTCAATTTGGCAACTTAGGTTCTCAATAATAATTGTATGAACATACGTATATTTCAGCATGGGACATAAACAACCATGCTTTAACTAATTAGATTCTTTCAAGTTAAATAAAATATAAAGTACCACCAAAAGTATTGACATCTCATGCAACGACCTAATATTACATTATAAAAACACTGAATTGTTACAGAACACTGTTCGGTAATCTAAACGTCATATCGCCTAACGTTTCGTTTATTATATTTAACGAACATTAACAGTTCGTATAATAGAGGTTCTATCGTAGCACGTAAACAATTATTATAAAGAATTTAACGAAAAGACAAAGACGAACAAACTATTGCTGTTGTCTTTATCCCATGGAGCGTATAAATGGGAAGATCCAACAAAGAGACCAAGTGGTGATAAAACTACAGAAATGTATTAAAAGAAACAAGAGCAGAAGATTTATTACGTTTCACACATGAAACGGTTAGCTGCGACCGCAGATAAGTGCCCTCGAGCGTGTAACTTTGAATTATGAGTGGTTTGCTTCTCGGCCTCTTGCATTTTTCCTCCTTCATCATTTATGTCGTCCTCGTGCAGCCGAATTTAGAACTTTGTATAGACGACTATGGTAAATAATCGTTGTGAACACAACAGGAGACTAGCCTGTGGGAAGCTAATGGTACGAGAGTGACACGATGAAGTAATGCTGAATCATTTTGACCCAAACTAAGGATGAGACACGATTTTGAGGAAGGAATTATGCATAAAACTTGATAAGTAAACATACCTATATTCGGTCAATTCGCAAGATAGCTGGCCACTTCGTAAATTGAAAAGATAAAGAACATGTGAAGCATATTCTTCTCGTTTCGCATTATATCCGGTCATTAGTATTAGGATTATCAATAAGTAATCCACGATTTTTTAAATAAATCGGTATTTGTTTCTATAGAAGTCAAGGAACTATACTGTTTAATTTATATTTATAGTAATCCTTTCGCACGCTACATTCCTGTTAATCACGTCCAGTTCGAGAAGATACTTTTTATTTACAATATTTCACCTCAGAATTTAAAAATTAACGGATTACTTATTGGTACACCTAATAGTAACAGACAGGAATTATTGGCCAGTGTAAGAAGTTACTATTATATACAGTAGGGATGCACAGACTTGTCAAGATCAAGGGACACTTAGATTCACTGTGACTTATGGGAGAGCCGGCAAAAGAAAGACATGGAAGTTACTTATTATATATTATTTATGTTGTTTATATTTATCATATATTATTACAAAGAAAGATAATAAAAAGTGAATAAACAATTTAATTTGATGCGTGACATTGCATTGATTTAACAATTGTTTTAATATTTCGTTCGATTTTTGTAGTAACCAAGCGTAAAATTCATTTTAAATTTTCATAAGCGGTTCCGAGATATTAATGAAAAACTCCGAGTAATCAGAGCGCGAGTATGTCAGTCGAGTTCCCGCTGTAGCGTTGGCTACTAATCGCAGCACGTAGCCAACACTACCGCGGAAGCTCGGCTGGAAGATTCATGCCTTAATTGGTCGGAGGTTTTCATTAATATCTTATTAACAAAGCCTGGCATAACATTTTTTCCAAGGAAAAAGTTACTTCAAATCATTCCACGAACCCCTTATTTCCGAGAGTCGAAGCTATTTTGAGACACCCTATATATCACGTCGTGTTATAACGAAATTGTTACACATAGGAGGGTTTCACCAATTTTTTCTACTTTATTATATCGAAAGCGTGTTTTCAGAATATCGTGTTATAGAAGGTTTGCATATACATATAATTATTACTTACCGGGTGTACGGAATTCGACTGTCCAATCATCCACCGTGACACGACCGTCCCTTTCGACTCGACGGAGAGCGACATCGTGCCATGTGCCATCATCGACCCGTTGCTTCGACGATTTCACCTTTACAGGACCGCTTCCAAGATCAGCGTGGAGGTACAGATGACCGCCGAATATCTCAAATGCGAACAGATCTTGCTGCGGAAAGAAAAATTTAAATATGTTTCAGTATTTCTTTTCATTGTCATTTCTTTCGTTAAGTAGTTAAGGATCAACGTCGAATGCGGGGTCATTTTGACCTGTTAAGTACATATTTTTCATTTTAATTATCAGTTAAAAGGATGTTTTAAAAAAAGACAAGAGCAAAATCTGCTGACATCTTTCGAAACGTACATGTATACTTCAACTTTTACTGTGAGCCAAATTGACCCGTCATTCGACGATCAAAATTAGTTAAATAAAATAAATTTGACTGTGTCATAATGAGAGTTTCTAAAACACTTCAGTTTAGAACGTTCTCTAATATTTCAATATTTTTGAACACATTCAAATATTACGCGTTATCTGTATCATCTCGCATATTTATGATTGCAAGACAACACCGTATAAAACTGCATACACAAGATGCTGTTCGACATGGAAGGAAGTGAATCGTTATGCATAAATAAGTTAAAAGTGCGGAGTAACATTTTTTCGTACGAGGTTTAGTTTTGGAGAAAATCGATTTTCAGAATCTTTTGAATACACGTGCAGTTTAATGACTTTGCTAACGTGTCTGTACATTAGTTACATTTTCTACTTATTATCAGCTCAAATACATACATAAACGCTACTGCTTATAAGTATTGGCAAATCCATATTAGATTCGATTTACTAAAAATGTGCCAAAGTATTGAAAATAATAAGATTTCCTCAGAATAAAACGAGCAAAATTCATGGTCATGTATTGACAGTTCCCAAAATGAAGTGGAAAACAAACACGAGTGAACTACTATTCGATAGAAAGGCAAATACTCATGAGCGGTAGTGTACATATCAGAGTAAACATTCATTGTTGATTTTATAGGAAACAAAGGCTCGCATGAAAAAAAGCATTATTCTGCATTATTAATTTATTTTTGTCTAACGAATCATTTGCTGCCTACTAGTATCAGTATTTCGACTGCACTGTGAATATTTTTCGTTTCAATATATTATGGTTTACAGTTCTGAATATTAATTTCTCGTTGTTGATTTCGGTGATATTACTAATCTGGTTAGTAAATGCATTTACAAACAACGAAATTTATACTTCTACTAGTAAATGCATACATTTACATTTCTGGTTCAGTAAAAGTTGCACAAACAAAAATGCATTAATTTCAATAAACACTTTTGCTAGCATTTGTTCATATGAATCATATAACTTATAAATTTTGTCTTAATAGGGACGCGTCTTTACAATTTACATATGTACAATTAATTTCACGGGTACAAATCACTTAGATTATGTTATTAAAATGAATAAAAACAGTATAAAGGAAAATTTTCTGTTAAATCATGTTACTAAGGAAATTATTTTACATTATAATTGGTTCTTTCTAAATATATTAATCAAAGATATACCCTAACCAAATCTATGTTCTTATAAAAACAATGAATTTTTTTAAAGAAGATCCATAAATTATCAAATAAATTGTTAAGTTATCAGTTTCCATTTTTGCACATTAAATACACCTATATTTTAAAAAATTATACTTTCGACATTATGCTTTTACTAACGTGCTGTAGGAAATGTATGCATCATCTACCCTGATAACCAGTTTTGTACAAGTTTCGAGCAAATTGCCAGCAATAAATGACAAAAATTGTCTAAAAAATCATAGTCATCTGTTTCCGCATTTGACTTGGGTTTTGCTGGCAACGCCAGCTGACAGAATGGTAAAGCAAATTAGCAGAAAATTTTGTACCGTGACCTGTGTCAAATTGAGGGAAAAACCAGAACAAGGCTTGCGCAAGTCAATTTGTTGCGTATGTTGCTGCCAATTTGCTGCCCATATTGCTGTCAATGTGCGCGCAAGGCGTTCATAGTAAATCTTACATAAACCTTGTAGCCATAACTTAACACAGGCATTGGGCAAAATTTGACTTTGCAGATTTGGCTGACTGGGTAGTAAATGAATACATATACTATAAATAGTGTACATTCTTATATTCGATTCATACTTCTACTAAAATCGTACGTAAATGCATACACTGACTATAGTAAGTGTATACATTTATTAAATTTGACGTAATGATACGATATGTACACTGCAACTAATAACTATGTATTAACGTACGTATGGATTCGCAAAACAAAAGCCACCGTTGTAGATACGAAGGCGAAGCATTTATGCACAGGATCCGGTGATTCCGCTAATGAGCAACTGGCACGAACTCGGAGTGTGGTGGTCGCAACAAGTCCGGGCCTTAATGAGGAACCCCGGGGTTTCGCAACTTTTCGATTTATTTCGCGCCGTTTCGTGCCACGCGGCCGTGATTATTCGCGATTTTAACGGTTCCTTGCGTTACGTTGAAATATAATTGTGGGAATTACGCAGCGGTATTGTTAAATCGAGATAACCACGTTCTGGAAACGAGAAGCGACCTCGGAGAGCGGCGAAAATGTGTTTCCTTCAGTCGTCAACCGACGAACCCTCGTGTTATAGAAATTGTGGGACTTCCAGGCTTTGGTTTGTCGAACAAATTCTTGCGAATGTAATTTTTGTTCGTTGACAAATAAAATTATATCCAATTGGGAACATTTCTTCTGAGAATCGATCGAAGTACGACGATTGATTAATTGGTGATTGAAAATGATAGAATGTACACTTTTCTTTATAAATATTACATTCACTATTGTTCTTTGCAGCTCATATTGGCGTAAGTATTATGTATTAAGCTTCACTATTTCGTTAAATATTCCAATTTTTAAGTCTTTAACGTTTATGTAAGACCCTTAGCACATTGACTGTCAAGTACGAGATAACTCGTAGTCGAAACAGTGCAAAGAAGCTGGACTATTTAAATATTGTTACAAAATTTGTGCGTAAAGTTAATATTGCGGTATATTTTGAAACAAGACAAACAGCCTCTATGAACAAAATACATATTCGATGATTTATGACTTCAAAAACGAAATAAACTGTGTCCGGTTACGTGCAGCTTTTTTCACTGTGGTAGTCAAGATGTTAATGATTGTTTCATTAGGTTTATTTCATATTCGGTAAGTGTTCTAATGGATTGTCCAAGTCATATAATTTTAAATGATATATCACGCACAAATTGAAAAATGTAAATTTAAAAGATTAAACACGTTTTTTTCGTGGTTCGCAGGACGTCTTCGTGATCGATATAAAAAATTATATTGTATAACTGAACAAAATTATCTAAACACACAATGTCACTCGATTAATTGTTTACAATGGAATCGAATTGTCGCCACATTTATTTAATCAAGCAATAAATGTTCCATCGCCGATATACAATAATTCGTGTATATGCAATAAAACATACTTGTTACTGTTGAAATTACTATTAAATAACACTCAATCCGTGTTACCCCTCCGTATGCCAAATGACTAGAAAGACTAAAGACAAAGAAGGCTGTAAAGTGCTTTTTTTAGAAATAAAAAAAGTTTTTGTTCCATAAAAAGGATGAATATGTGGGGGCCACTCTAGGTAGATGAGGATGGAAGTGCCATTACGATTTATTCATTTATGAATCCTCAGATGACAGTGTCTTGGTCCATGCTGATTCAGGATTTCAGAAACTTCACGCACCATTGCCGTTTATAAAAACTAACCTGAAGTGTCCAGTTGATTATAGTAGCATTTTATTAGGAGACCAGCATAATTTGAAAAAATTTGTTCCGAAACACATCTAAAGACAGATGAGTAAGGGTCTATCTGGATAGTCTAGAACAGAGTTGCGCAATTGATTGCTTATGAATAGCAGCGCTTCGGACTTCCCCTCCCGGGTTGCCCCCATATTGATCATTAGATTGACTCGCTTGAGTTGTGGCGGGAAGAGTCACAAGGTGGGGAGATTTAAGCTAGTCAATCTAAATATTATAGTGGGTAATACTTTAACATTTTGGGGTAATCCAAGAAGGGAAGTTTGAGCTGCTGCTACTCGCGAGCAGTCAGTTGCGAAGCTCTAGTCTAGAAAATGGACTGTCATCTATTTGATCATCAAAATGGCACTTCTATCTTTATTTCTTGGTGTTGGCAACATTCATCCTTTTCATAGACAAATAATTGTTTTGTGCATATAGCACATACAGCTTCTGTTTATGTCCAGTTTTCTTCTTTCAGCTGAAGTGATCCGTAAGGTTCACATATGAAACGTTTATCGCATTAAAAGCAACGTACTCTGGCGTGGGCACCGCTGCGGCTATACATGATCAATCCATTCGGCTCGTTCGTGCGGATTTTGAAGGATATACTCCCGGATCTGGCCGCCTTCCAAGGTGGCAGGACCTGAAACAAACGAGACGCACGGCTCTTAATACGTCACTGTTGGCTGCGGTCGTTACTTCTGAACGGAAGAAAACGAAGAAAAGAACAAAGAACGGAAGGAAAGAACGTAAAAATCCCTCGACGTCCCGGAGAAGAATGGCGGACCGTTGGGTAGGGAGCAGCAGAGTTGGCCCAGCCATCGTGTCCGGAATCCAAAATTTTCTGCTGCCTGTCGCGGCCGAGGTAGAGGGGTCGTCCATTCATCATGCACGATGGCTTAAATAATCACGTGTCTCGTGTTCGTGGAATTTTTACTTCAATTTCGAAGCTCGGAACCCCCGGTCTCCTGCAGCGGACGGGTATGTATGATTTACCATTCGCCGCTTCGGGATCGAGAAATTCTGGGGGACATTGCGTCGTCGCGACGTCAATCCTATCCGCGTTGCTTTCCGGCTCGTTTTCCGGATGGGGGAAACAGTGAGAAAGAGAGTGAGAGAGAGAGGGGGGGAGAGAAAGGGAGAGAGTGGGAGGGGGAGAGCGAGAGAAAGAGAGGGGGAGTGGGAGTGAAAGGGGGCTAGAGAGAGGGAGGGGGAGATGGGGGAGGGAGAGAAACGGGGAGAGGAAGATAGAGGGAGCGATGGGGATGGAGGGAGATAGAGAGAGGGGGGATAGAGAGAGAAAGAGAGAGAGTGAGCGAGAGGGGAGAGACGAAGATTGACGGAAAGATGGGGGAGGGAGAGAAATAGAGGCAGGGGCGGGGGGGGGGGAGATAGAGAGAAAGAGAGTGAGACGGAGAAAGAGAGAGTTGGTGAGAGGGAAAGGGATGAGACGAAGATAGAGGGAGAGATGTGGGAGGGAGAGAGATATAGGGATAGGGAGAGATAGAGACAAAGACAGAAGACGTGAAAGAGAGGGAGAGTGAGAGAGAGAGAAAGAGAGAGAATGTAGAAATGGAAATGCAGATTCGCGAGGCGGATGATGGACATATCGTGAAAATGTTGACGGATTGTTTTGCGTGTGAGGAGGACCATTCCTTTAGGTGATTCCCGACGTTTATCACTGGTTTTAGACATTACGCGGTTTTCTACCAATGGGAGTTACTTAGATGTTAAATTATTTTTGAAGAAATAATGATTGGAAATGATTGGACCACCACCTAAGAACTGAAATGAGTGTCACTCGACTGGAAAATTTAGTATCGACCGGAGAAATAGCGTCATGGCCCGCTATAAGCCGCATTGAAAGTGGATATAAATAAATTCTTCTACATGTGAATGAAATAAGTGGTAAAGATAGAAAAAACACGGACGTGGGATTTTTGTTCAGCTTGACCACAAAGTGGCCACGCTGTTGATCGGGCAATCTGTTAAGATCTT